CTAAGCGCTGGGCGGAAGCTGGACAGGACGGGCCGCTCTCCCATCCCGAGCCGCCGCAGCGGGACGGGAGTGCACTCGGGCCCGGGCGGCGCCCGCCTCCCCGCAGGTGTCCGCTGGGTAGCGCGGCCTCACCTGTTCCCCTGCCTACGCTGTCGGTGTGCGTTCTGGGACTTCGGGGGGTGGTCCCCGGCCTGCCAGCCCCACTGCCCTGCAACGGTGCACCTTCACCTGTTGGGGGACAGAACAAAGCAGCCGAACAACCCTCCCACCCTTTCCGAGTGGCCAGGGAGGCGTCCTGAGAGGAGCCGAGGGTCCAGAGCGCTTTGAGCAGGAGAAACCAGGCGCAGCCCGTTCTCTGTGTGAGGGCCTCAGTTGAGGCCCAGAAATAGGACGTGTTAGTGGCGGACGCAGGTACTAACCGGGAAGAAAATTAAGGTAACTAACGGCATCAGCAACGTACGGACGTCTTGCCAAAGGCAGCGCAAACATTTCCAGTTCTGGACGAGTTTAACCTGTGCTCCCTGTCTCTTGTTAAACGTTTATACTTGTGTTAGTCCGTATTTTAAAAAGCTTCATACTCGGAACTGTACTATTGCTGTTTGTTGGAATGGGTGGATGTCCTTGTGAGATCCTGACCTGGCTTGACCTGCGGCCCCCTCTCCAAATGGGACTGTACTGTAACGAGGAGTGATGGGCGGCCGAAGGTGAGACAGTTTACACCCCCGTAACCTGTGAGGTGGGATCATTACTCACTCCTTTTATTATTAGCCGGAATTGCCTGACCCCCTTCTGGGAAGAGATCTGCTAAGTCAAGTGGGAGCTAGTATACTCTTAAAACAGAGTGAGGCCCAAGAAGACAGAAAATCAGAACAGGGAATAAATTTGTTAGTAAGCCCAGATGACCTGCCTATTGGTCATCAAAATATTCCCCAAGAGTAGGGAATAGGTAGAGCCTGTGATTTCAGATAAATCGGTACCAAGCAAGGCAAAGCATGATCCCCCTTGAAAACAGAGTTAAAGCCTGGGGGGAAGTACCTCTGGAAGAGGCCATATCCTTTAAAGCCAGAGGCCTTAAGTGTGTGGGGGGTGGGGGTTAGCGCTCAGTACTTCTGTTAGACCTCAAGTATGCATCTGTCACCCCCTACATGCAGACTCCCAGTACCTTTTTCCCTTTGAATGGAGGGACCTTGACACCCTGGAGGCTACTCAGCACACTTGGACAGTGCTTCCACAGGGCTTTCGGGACAGCCCCCATGTCTTTGGAAGCACCTCAGCAAGGGAGCTGAGGGAGCAGCCTGAAAGATGGAACTCTGTTGCAATATGTTGATGATCTATGAATAGTGAGACAAGGCAAGGTTCAGATCAGAATACTGTTAAAATGTTAAATTTCCTGGCAGAAAAGGGATGTCAAGCCTTCCCCAAAAAGGCTCGGATTTCACAACGTGTCCAGGATTTAGGATTGGTACGGCCTCCGGTGCGTGAGCCCTGGCCACAGACCAGGAGACAGCAGTTGGTGCCTCACCGTCTCCAACCACAAAGAGACAGCTCCAAGGCTTTCTTGCAGTGGCTGGTTCTGCCATATCTAGATGCCACAGTACGGCCTTACAGCCAAAGCCTGGGGGAAGCAGGGAAGCCTGCAGTGGAGCAGCAACACCAGTGGGCCTTGGAGACTCTAAAGCCCGAGCTGAGCAGGGCAGCAACACCTGGGGCTTCTCCACTTAGACAAAGACTTCACCATGTCCATGAGTGGTCAGTGACAGCACTAGGAGCCCTGACCCAAAAGCTGGGACCAGATCAAAGGCCAGTGGCTTACTTTTCCAAACAGCTGGACTCAGTAGCCCTGGAATGGCCCAGCTGCCCACAAGCAGTAGCAGCCACGGCCCTACTGGCCAGTGAGGCGTCTAGGCTAACCTGTCCCTAACCCTGGGACAACACCTAGAGGTTTTAACCCTTCATCATGTGCAGTCTGTTAGAAGCCAAAGGACACCACTGGTTAACCAGGGGAGAGTTAGCAAAATATCACCCTCTCCTAATGGACACCCTCGATAGTACTTTAAAGGTGTGCCAAGGCTTAGACACAGCAACTCTTCTCCCAGCTGTTGAAAATGGAGATCTTTCACATCGGTGTACAGAGACAATCGAACGAGCTTATTCCAGCAGATCTAGACGAACCTCCTGACAGCCCTGAAGTCTAGTGGTTTACTGACAGGAGTGGTTTTGTAGTGATGGGAACCTAAATGGCAGGATGTTAGTCCAGATGAAGCCATGGATGCCAGAGCCCAGCACCCCAGACGTCAGTCCAGGAAGCTGAACCTGGTGGTGAATGAGAGCTCTGCAGTGGGGGGGGGGGGAGGTAAGGAATTAAATGTTCTTTCTGATTCTAAATTTGGACTTCACGTGCTACACACTCATGCTGCCACTGGGAAAGAGAGGAATGTTAACTGCCAGCAATTCTCCCATGAAACATACAGATTTGATCTTGGCTCTTTCAGAAGCAGTGCTGCTCCTGGCCCAGGTGTCAGTAATTCCCTGGAGGAACCATTGCAAGACGGATCCTTTATACGCCAAGGAGATAACAAAAGTGATGGAGCGGCAGAACGTGCAGCTCAGTCACGAGAGCCTGACCATGTCACGGCCTGAGTGACTGAGCCCCTGGCCTCCCCAGCCGTCCAGTGTTCCCTACAGGAATGGGAGAACGCTGGAAAGGGGCTGTACGGAAGAAATCATGGGCTGGTGTATATATATATTTTGTTTTGTTTTTAATTTTGTTTTGTGTCAATTTCTAGTGTACAGCATAATGCTTCAGTCATACATATATTTTCATATTCATTGTAAGTTACTACAAGATATTGAATAGGGGTCCCTGTGCTATACACTATGAACTTGTTTATCTGTTTTTTATATAGTAGTTAGTACCTGCAAATCTCAAACTCCCAATTTATCCCTTCCCACCCCCTTCCCACCCGTAAGTTTGTTTTCTATGCCTGTGACAGTTACTCTGTTTTGTAAATAAGTTCATTTATCTTTTTTTTTTAGATTCCACATATGAGTGATATCATATGGTATTTTTCTTTCTCTTTCTGGCTTACTTCACTAAGAATGATGATCTCCAGGTCCACCCATGTTGCTGCAGATGGCATCACTTTATTCTTTCTTGTGGCTGAGCAGTGTTCCACTGTGTACGTATACACCACGACTTGTTTTATCCATGCATCTGTCGATGGACATTTAGGCTGCTTCCGTATTTCGGCTATCGTAAGTAGTGCTGCTATAACATTGGGGTGCAGATGTCTTTTTGAATTAAGGTTCCCTGTGGATATATGCCCAGGAGTGGGATTGCTAGATCATATGGTAAGTCTATTTTCATTTTTTGAAGACTCTCCGTGCTGTTTTCTATAATGGCTGCACCTGCCCCCCAGATGCAGTAATAGGCCCAGCCAGGCTTCCCTGTTACGTCGCTGGTTTAACTCCACTTCACCCCAGTGAGCCTGCACCCCTCCTGAGTACCTGTTCCTCTGTGGTCCACTGCAAAATAAACTGCCCTTCGAAGGGAACCCAAATTCCTCCTTTTCCCAGCCTCTCCGGGCAGTGGCCTGTCCGTGCTTAGACAATGTCTACTTCCAGGGAGAATGCACTTTGGGACAGTTGGGACCTAAAGGACTAGGAGCCACCATGGATAATGCCACCTTGCAAAACAGACAGAATTGGGCACTTGGGCTAATCCTGGCAGGACTCGGGGCTGCCATTGGACTGGCCGCCCCTGGGGGGTTCTGCCTGTCGTGAAGCAACCTCAGACACCTTACCCAGGCCACAACTGGCCTCCAAGACTAGTGATGCCTTAAGGGACCTCCAGGACCTGCCGGTGTCGTTTTTCGGCAGCAGCATAGCCCTGGCTCGTCTTCTGGCTGAACAAGGGGGTGTCTCTGCAGTAATCAGCAGCGCTGGCTATACATACGTCAGCCACTCCAGGACGTCAAAGAAGCACTCAGGACGTTTATGAACAAGCTAAACGGTTCCATGGGGTCAGCAACTCCACTGCCCTGACTCCGTGGGACTAGATTAAAGGTCACATCCCTGGGGCCTGCTTGGCTCCTGCCTCTCCTGGGCCCTCTGGTGGCAGTAGTTATTTTATTAGTATTTGGGCCCTTCTGGTTTAATCTTAGTTAGGTTTGTGTCTTGCAGGCTTTAACAGTTCCAAGTGAGGCTCGCAGTGGCCTAAGGACTTCACCCTGTTCCCTCAGAAGGTGACCCGGCCCCTGCGGGCCCTCAGAACAGTCAGCAAGGGACTTCTACACCTCGGAGCGGGTGGGGGGTAGTGGAAATTGATTCTTCCCTATTTAAAAACTTTTTTTTCTGGACCTCCTTTCACAACTCCTGACGCTTTGGAAAGGGGGTAGGAAGGTTATTTCACCAGCTGTGCTCTTCCAACTCAGCAAGAAGGCCTTCCAGTCCAACAGGGAGGGTGTGGTGGTGGGTTACTGACCTCTCCCCGAGCCAGGTACTTCCATGTACCTTTACCTCAGTTAACTGGCTCTGTTCCCAGCACGAAAAACCCAACTGCACTTTTAAAGTAAAACAAGGATAGTCGAGTTGTGCAAGTGAGCGTGAGACCATAGAGAGGGAAGGGCTGATGGGAGAGCAGGGTAGAGTGGGTCTCCCAGATCCCCTTCCTCAGGGCTGACACCCTCACTCCCCACCTGCTGGCAGTGTGGGTCCACAGCCGTGTCCCTCGCTGGGAAGCGCCCGCGACCGCAGGGCACTGCTGTGGCGGAGGCGACGGCCCTCCCCAGTGCCTGGCTGATGCAGGCACCTGCAGGCGTTCTCCAGCCCGGCTCCAGTGCAGCCTTTAGCATCTGCCAGTCTGTCTGCCACAGGTCCCCACGCGGCTTCCCCAGGCACGTCCAGGGAGTCCTGCATGCAGTGTGGCATCTCTGTCTCCAAGAATCATTTAAGAAGACTGGTAGGGCCCAGGAGGTTGACGCTGAGGTGGGATTTGTAAGCCAGATCCCCTCCAGCAACCTACCTGCCGGACCTGTGCTCCTGCTTCTGAGAAGCTCCAAACGGGCTTTGGAGCATCCGCCCTGAAAAGCCTTACTTTCTCCTTAACACTTAGGGAAGTTCGGCTCCACACGGTCAACCGTGTCCGCCACATCAGTGACGCAACGCCTCTGTCTGTCCTCAGACCTGCACTGAAGCCCGCTCAGGCACACACCTGGAGTCCTCTGGCACTGTCCTTGTGATGCCCTCTTCCCAGGGCCCTGAGCTCCGGCTGCACAAGCACATGGGAGAGACACAGGTGGAATGTCTCCAAGGAGGTTACTTAAGCACAAAAATTTCAAACCTAAGTTTAATAAGGGATAATAGAAATGACTCAGAGATCCACAACCAGAACTGCTGTAGAAACCCTCAGCTGGCTTCTCCACTTAACTTTCCCCTTTGTCAAGAAAATAAACAGGTTTATACAGAATAGGCCCAGATTGTTCCTTCATGCTTATCTTCATTGCCAGGTATCTTCAGTCTGCTAACAATCCCAATGTATTCCTAATCCTCCCAGTGTGAAGACTTGCTGTGAACAGCTCCCAAGCCTGTCACCAGCACTTTATTTTTTTAATTGAAGTACAATCAGTTTACAGTGTTTCAGTTTCTGGTGTACAGCGTAGTAGTTCACTTATACATGTATATATTTGTTTTCATATTTTTTTCATTATAGGTTACAAGACATTGAATATAGTTCCCTGTGCTTTACAGAAGAAACTTACTGTTTATCTATTTTTATATACAGTAGTTAGTATCTGCAAATCTCCACCTCCCAATTTATCCCTTCCCACCCTCTTTCCCCTCTGGTAACCGTAGGTTTGTTTTCTATGTCTGTGAGTCTGTTTCTCTTTTGTAAATAAGTTCATTTGTGTCTTTTTTCTTTTTTTTAATTCCACATATGAGTGAAATCATGTGGCATTTTTTTCTTTCTGGCTTACTTCACTTAGAATGACAATCTCCAGGTCCATCCATGTTGCTGCAAATGGCATTGCCTCTTTTTATGGCTGAGTAGTATTCCATTGTATAAATATACCACAGCTTCTTTATCCGTCATCAGCATTCTTAAAAGCAGAGATACGAGACTTCTCTCACAGCCACTTTAACTAAAATATGTTTTGAATGATGTTTCTTGCATCTTGCTTTCCTTGTTCTGAATCTCCCCTCCCCTCCCCTCCCCTCCCCTCCCCTTCCCTTCCCTTCCCTTCCCTTCCCCTCTCCTCCCTCCTCACACTGAATGTTCTCATGTTCCATTTCTACATATTTTCTCACATCATGCTTGGGTCAAGGTACCTGAGAACTCTTCCAAAAAAGACTGGTGCAGAGAGGCCCCGGGTCAGTACAGTGTTTCCTCAGTCTGCTTCGTAGAGAATCCAGAGGAAAGGCATCCAGGATAATCCAAACTCTCAGGTTCCTCAGTCCCAAAAATAATCAGCCAAGTTCTCGGTTTGTGATGGACTCATGCTGACCATCTGTGAAAGTTTAGGTGTGACCCTCATGCTGCCTCATTCTCAACACATCAAGTCTCACAGGAGTCCCCAGGATTTGCAGATGGGGCTGTTTGGTGTCAGGTAACTAAGGGGTCCCAAATGTTCCTTCCATTCAGCTTTAGTCTGGATTTGGGTCTAGAGGAGGCACCAGCCTGTGTGCCCGGTGACAGGCCTGGCCAGGTGCTGACCCGCGGGCTGTGATGCTGAGCCACGAGGGCATCTGCCTGAGCTCAGACAGGCCCAGGCCCTGGTGTTCTTCTGAAGCCTGCCTGGCACCCCCAGGCCTGGCCAGTGCTCAGAATCCTTGCCTTGGGGGAAACCCTTGTCTTAGGGTTTGCCAACTGACTGCTTTCTCCACCTAGTCCTGATATGAGCCTGGACTTGACACTGGACCCCCAAGAGGGGAGGTAGCAGTCGGAGCGATGGAGGGGAAGGTTCCACTCGGGCCTGGCCGGTGGGTGGGGGCCATGGCAGGAGTGGGGTCCATGTTGTAGGAGGCGTGGCATCTGGGGTGTGCCCTGTGCTCTGATCCAAACGGAAATCCATGATTCCAGATTCTGTTCTCCTCGAAGTCCTGGCTTGCTTAGACAGACTTGGAGGAGTCAGCAGGAATGCTGAGTCAGATGCATGGTCATGAGAGGAAGGTGTAGTCACCTGATGCACAGGGGTGAGGAGTGCGGGATGGGGCAGCCATCGATGGGAGCCAGAAACAGGACAAGCAGGTGGCACCCTGAGAAGCCCACTTAGTCTGATTTAGCAGACAGAGCCCGTCTGCAGCTACACCACTCAATCAAAAATAGAATTGGACTTAAAGCCACATCCTTCTGCTGTGAACCTAACACGCACAATTTAGTTTGAGCAAACACCATCATCTGTGTCCCCTCAGTGTTGCCAGTTTGAATCTTTATTAGTTTTATGGTTTTGTTTGTATTTCATTTGTGAATCTTGCTTTGACTTCAGACATCAATACGACACCCTCATAGTTTATATCTGATATTACATTTGCTCATATATGTAATACTGTAAAAGTTAGTCTTACGTTAAAACTCTGAGGTCAACATTTTTTTTTATTTAAAAGGGTCCAGTTAAATACCTGAATTTGAAAAACACTGCCTCAAGTCAAACTTCCCCAAACTCAGAGTTAACTGTCTCAGTTGGGTGTTGGATGTGAACGTGGGTGAGAGCCCTTTGATCCTCCCAGATGCACTTTGATTTACTGAAAAGGGACCCTTTGAACACACAGAAATCTGACTCTTCAGGAAGTTAAAAAGTAACACGTTTCTCATCAAGTGGTCACAGAAATGCTGGAGGGTCTGGAAGAGGGTGTATCAGGCAGAGCTGACCTGGACAGAAGGTTGTCTCCCCTCTTCAAATGCAGGGCTCACGGACGTAACACGCCCAGAGTGACATTCTGCTGTCTGCCGAGCTGTTTCACACTCAGCCTCCCAAGTCTTCTCCCAGAGATTTTCACCCAGGAGGTCCAGACTGCAGCCCAGTCCTGTCCCCTTCCAGCCGCCGTCTCAGAACACTGTGCTCTGGTAACACACCAGCCCTATTTTGAGAAACCTGCCTTACTGGTTCCTGATGGCCACAGTGTCATTCTGTCCCTCACATTAGACCCAGAGCACCTTCCTGAAAGCTCCACAGTTAGTTCCTCTGCGAGAACTCCCCACCGTAAGAGGCGACCTAGGAAGAAGGGGAGCCCGTCCCACCCTGGTGTTCACCATGTGTTTGCAGAACATTCTAGGAGAGAAAGTGCCTTGAGCTACATTGTTTGTAACTAACTAGACATAACTCAGGTTTAAAGATTCACCTATCAAGTCAGGGAACTTTCAGTTGAAAAGTAAAATGTGACCAAGATTCATTCTCTAGTTAATTTTTTTAAAGCTTTAAATAACAGAAACAAAGGCGTCTTACATTTTTGTGATTTTCTGAAATCTCCACTGTAGATTGCAAACATAGATGCAAAAGCCCTCGCTTCATTGCCTGCAAAACAGAGGAATACTTTCATTTGGGGGAAGAATCGTTAGTCCAGCACCGGCTTAAGGGTCAGCACAGAACCTGCCCTGCTGAATGGACGTCTCCGTGCGAGGCCCTGGACACCCGGTGTCTCTAGAAAAGACGTTCAAAGACCAAGTCTGCTGAAACTGAGGCTCCTTCCTAAGCACGCACTGCTGAGGAAGCCATGGAGTCGGAGTCAGCCTGTGTTTTCCACTGGGTTTGTTCGCACGAGTCCCTGTCCCCCAGCTCGCTGCCCATGAGGACAGGATACATTTACTAGAAACAAAAGCTTTCTAGGCTGAAGATGTTCAGCACTGAAAAATGACAGGACCAAGGCTCACCTGGCAGCAAAAAGTTCCAGAGCAGGTGGTTCCAGTCCCAGCTCAGCTCCTGGTGTCCCTGTGCCCGGGGGGCTCGGGCTCACTGCCCAGCTTCCTCGCCGTGAACCTGGAGTGACAGCACACCTGCCGTGACCCAGGAGCCAGGGCACGGGGCCAACAGAGTGACGGCGCACCTTCCCAGGTCAAGGTGCACAGGGAAGCCTCATGGTCACGATGTCCCCACACTCCCTCCAGTGACCCTCTGCCGATTTAACTGTCAGTTTCTTGTTTATTCTCAGTTTTGGTGCCTTCTGCTCAGATCACCTGGGGTCCCTAGCCTTGCTGTCTCCCTGGCTTCAGTCTCTGTTGGCCAAGCTTTCTGACAGACGTTTCTCCTGACTCCCAGACCCCCCAATCCCCAGCGGCCCCCGGCCAGGCTCCCAGCTCACCACCATGCCTCTGCCCGCCAGCCACCCGTGGGGTGGGCGCAGTGGTCCTTGCCTGGGTGAGGGGCACGTCCCTTCGGCCGCCCCTGTGCCCCCAGGTGCAGTCCTCACACTGTAATAATGCCCCTTGTGTGTCATAGCTAGGTCATGCACCTCCCAGGCCTGATGTCACCTCCTCACTCCGTCCAGGTTCCTAGCGCT